CTCTGAGCTAGACGGATATGGGCTCCCATTAACTGCCAGCAATAATGCAGAATTATTGTTCCCCTCTCAAATTAGTCACCTTTTAATGTTTAGAGTCTCTTTCTTTCCTTTTTGACTTTATGCAAACTTTTGTAAAGCATTCAACATCACTGATTGAATATTGATTGAATATATACAGATTGAAGACTGATTGAACATACACAGATAAATATTTCTTGTCTGTTGTGATCTGAAACATGCCTCTTTTGCATCCATCTCCTGTATCTTTTAAAATTATCATTCAGTAAGATTTTTTTGTGTATATTGTTTTCTTAAGGTTTCATCTTAAGAAATGGCTTATACATTCCTGTATAATATTAATCTTGTAAATAAAAATGGATTTACAGGTGGCTGTTACGTGTAAGCTGGGTTGACAAGATCAGAAATGAGGAGGTGATAAGCAGCCTGGGAAAGCCAAGGGAAATCTTCAAAACAATTAAAAAATGAAAATTAGAATATTTTGGACATGTGATGCAACACCCAGAAAAATACGGCATACTCCATTTAATTCTCCAGGGAAAGATTGAAGGCAAATGAGGTCCAGGCAGAAGAAGAACATTATGGCTTCAAAATCTAAGGGACTGGTTTGGACAAAACTCAGCAGCACTTTTTCATGCAGCTGCTGATAAAAACAGGATTGCCAACATGATCGCCAACGTCCGATAACGGATAAGGCACAACAAAAAGAAGAAATAAAAATGCCTACGTTTGTATTATGATTGTGCAAAGGTGTGAATACTTATTTGGAAGCAAACCCATTTAACTTACATTACAGGCTGAGCTGCACGAATCTCTTCCCACAACCAGGAAAAATCTAAAATGTCATTACTACAAACTTATGAGTCAAGCCTAATACTATTCAAACCACCACTAATGTGTGAATAATAGTTGACAGTTTCCAAAGTGTACTAGTCAAATACAATTTAGATCAGATGTTTAACATGGTTTTATGGCTCAGCACATATTCTATTGCTGCAAAGCTAGACATTTTTAATACCTCACCAACCATTTAGAGTCAAATATAATTGTATAATATTGCAATAAAAATGTATGCTGGCATTTTAAACTGTATTCATGAATATTTTATTCTATATTTTAATAAAAGCATGGAGTTTAGTAGATTTTTATATCTTAGTGTAGTTTGAGTTATTTTATAGTTCACTTTAATTTTACAAAATGTTTCCTTCATTTTCACTTTAAGTTATTTCCACCTGGTTATCATATTATATAAATGCCTTCATTTCATGGATACACATTTCAACTGGCTTTCCTTTCTATTAAAATATTACATATAGAATAAATACCAATAATCAATGAAATTATTGTTCATAATATATAGTTGCCCATCTCACAGATGTAATTCTGGGTAATATAGAGCCTCCCAGTTCAGGACAGATGCAACTGTTGCACAATTTATGTAAAGGTTTTCTAGGCCATGATTGCTACCTGCTCTTTGAGCAGGAGTTGTGAGTCCAGAAAGATCCTAGATTCTGCGCAAAGTCTATTTGAGACAATCAACCCTTTCCAGGAGCAAAAATGATAAATTCCCAGATCTGGAAGTCACAAAACCCAAAGTCATTCAGTTTTGCTGAAGTTCATCTGAAGCCTGTTTTTCTTAACCTCCCACAGCTTCCAAATACTAAGACAAGACTTCCATAACATAATTAATTGGCCAGATTCCTTGTTTAGATGCTGTTTTGTATATGGCTTCTTTGCTGCTTCACACTTTGGTTGACAATTCAGTAACTAACAACATCCTGCTGTTTATCTGAGGATAAAATGCCAGAAGATTAGATTTTTGCCATCTAATTACTATATTTGATATCAGATATACATATACAATCCCTTTGAGATTATCTCCTTAATGGCTTTGCTGAAGAAATTAAAATCTTCCTTGGTAATTTTGGTTTTGGCTGAATTATCTCAGAAAATCTGGGTCACCTGGAATCAATCTGGAGCAATATATGGCACTGAGGAGTAGGATACTTTAAAGCAATGTTTCTCAACTTCAGCATCTGTAAGAGGTATGGACTTCAATTCTCACAATTCCTCAACCAGAATTCTGAGAATTGAAGGACACCCATCTTAAAGTTGCGGAGTTTGAGAAAAACTGCTCTAGGTATCAGATCCCCTAGAGCTCCAAAATTACTAATCCCCAAAATATACCTTCCATGTCTGTGTTGCCAGAATCCCATAGGTGGATAAACAACTAAATCAAAGAGCAGCTTATCTGGAGCTTCTTTCTTCCATAAGCCTGATCATTATTTAAATATTAAAATAGGATTGTAAAGAACCAAGTTCAATTTTTGTTTTCAATAGATTACAACCAGGTGGTGGCTGGGTGGATGGAAAGTCTGGTTACCCTGCCTCTTAGCATTTATAATTTCCCTTTCAGTCTAGTTGATGTAAGAAAAGAAAGATATATTTTAGATGTCAGTAAGCAACAATAACACAGCTTTTTTTTAAAAAAAAAAAACACGAGTTAAAGTGATAATTGCAATGATGGAAGTAAACATCATTTTTAGTTTGTTGCTGATATATTTCCAGTTCACCAAGGAGACTTTAGGACAATAATTCTGGAATTCTGGAATCAATGTCTGTTAATCTACTTTAGTATTTCTCAAACTTGGCAATTTGAAGTTGTTCAGTAAAGATGGCTAGGGAATTTTGGGAGCTGAAGTGCACAGATCTTCAAGCAGCCAAGGCTGAAGTAACACTGATCTATGTGTCATGGTTCTGATAGACAGAGACAAATAAAGCAGAACCCGAGGTTTGCAAATTCTGCAAAGAACATGTTTATTGATACAATAAGTAATCGGCACTTCAAAAGTGAAAAGATGCACAACTCCCAATACAAAGTTAAGAAATCCTAGCCCTAAGGCTATGCAACCAACTACGTTTCCCCATACAGCTTGTTGGGCTTTTCATGAAACACCCAGCATGCAGTCTCGGGGTAGCCAATGAGAGAAGGTCTGAGAGAGAAAGTCTGTTTTGTCTAGCGCAACACCTGGCAGCCCCCCTCCCTCCGTGCTATGTGTCAACAAAAAATGAGAAGGAAAAAATGGCTGCAGCCATGCTCATTCTAAAGTTGACCCTATGTCTTCCAGAAATACTGGTTGCATATCCTCCATTCTGACAGAGATATGTAATTTTACCTCATTTCAGTTAGAGGTGATTTGAGTGAACTAAATCCTCTGGAACTGCTGTTGAATTGGAAAAAGATTCTATAGTTGAAATTCTATTATTGTCACCAACATTTCTCACCACTTTAGTTGTTGCATCTATAGATATGAATACCAGCTTAGCCTCTGGCATTCAGAACCTCAGGTGATGTGGAATCTATGTTTGTGTTGTATATCCTATAATTGCAAAGCATTGTGGCATTTCAAGAGCTTATAATTAACAGTGGCAAAAGCTGTTTTTTTTTTGGGCAACTGTGGACTGTACAAACTGTTTCTTTGAATTCCTGGAGAAATGTCCAGTTTAAAGCCTTAAATACTATAATTTGGAACACTAAATTGCTATGCTATACTTTTTTTTTCATTTTGATATTATTCTGCTTGAAACAAGGGTTTTTTAAAGACAAAATGGAAGATTTTTACTAGCAACCTGAATCTTTGTTCTTCCAATCTCTGTTCAACTAGATATGTATACCCATAATATAAGCATGTGAGAAAGCTGAGCATTAATAGCTGCTGGCATCCATATTGATTACTGAATAATATTGTTTCCAAAGAGGCTCAATTTGTTGCATCTTTAAGCACACATACTGTAAATTATGAATTTCATTTTTCCTTCGGTGCAATTTCTGTCTTTGTCAAAAAGAGGTGCCACATACTGGTGTGACATTTTATCAGGCACAAATTTCTACATCTTTTTTCATTAAAAAAAGGGGGAAGGGGATTTTGGTTTTGTGATAAGAGTGGATTGGAAAGAAATGGTATGTGACTTTTTGACCATCTATTTTCCTACTCATGATCACTCAGTGGTATTCCAGGTTTGTATTCAGCTGTATAAAATCACACTTGGGGATTCTGTGGTGGAGGTAGCTTGAGAATGATTTGGAGGATAAATATATGCATTTCTAGCCTGCTTTTCAGTAACAGCTGAAAGCATCTGCAATGCTTTAAATTGTACTTATTAAAGCTACTTTAAAAAGGGGGAGGGAGCTTGCAAACCTGAATGACAGCGTTAGAGTAAATTACTTGCCACAATATAATGAAATAGTACAATAGGGGGATTGCAATTTTTTAAAGAAAAAAAACCACTTAATCTCTCATTTCCCTCTTTCTCTCTGCCTGACATAATACATTATTATTGCAATTACTGAATCATTTAGCAAACAATTGTTATATTTACTTTATACATTATTGTTACTAGGATGATTACAACTGCTGTTACTGATATTTACCTAAGGCAGGCTACAATTTGAGTCCAGTGAAAGTCTTGGATTAAAATACTAAATCCCTGTCATAGTGTGTGGGGAAATAAGGAATAAAATAAAGTTTTAATAGCATTTGTTCTCAGACATGATAGCAATGGTATTTCTTAGATGTCAGAACAGTTAGCCTCTGCAGAACTCATTGTAGAAAGATGTAAATAATTAAAAATAAATTAGGTACCACTTAATTCTCCCCTCACACCAGTTTATTAAATTAGAATGCCTCAACTAAACATTGGCCCCATTCAAATCAAGTTCTCCTAATACACATGCAGATATTTGCATTCCTTACTAACCTCTAGAAAACAAGATGAGGAATATCCAGCCCTCCTTATGCTGCTGAATTTTTATTGTTAGTATCCCTCACTCTAGTTGGTGCAGCTAAGAATTGTGAGTTTAGTAAGTGACACAAGTTCTTAGTACCTAGTTTAAAGTTTCCTGATCTGGGCAAATTCTTTCATCTATGCAACTATAGAACAAGAGGAGTGCTATTATTTTTTATGTATGTTTTTTCCTGCAGACCTATTCTAAGAACTGAAAAAGAACATGAGACTGTCTATAAAATAATGAAAGTCATTCCTGATATCAATGAGCAACTATCTGAAGAACAGATTAAGGAAATCAGCAAAGTAGTTCTAAGAGAATACTGGGTGAAGGGAAGTACAGGTAGGTAAACATAGAGTGGTTACCTCTTGAAGGAACAGAGGTACCAGCTAGTATAAGTCAAAATAAGAGATGGTGGAACTTGTAGTCCAGTTTTATTATAGCACCAAAGCTACACTAAGCACTGAACCAATCTATTTTATCAGATTAGTTGTGTAATTACTTTTTCCTCCCTATGGCAGACAATTTTTGCAAATAACTTTCTAATGCAAGATTACATTTGAAAAATGTGTTCCACTTTGGGGGTATCTTTTATTTTTCTCTTGTTCCATTGACATTGCCTTTCATCTCTACTCTAGTGCTCAAGTTTATTTCCTTCTTCCTCTTCTATAATGGAAAGTAAAATGTCATTATTCTTCTAGAAAGATAGATGTGAAAAGACTTTTAATGAGAAATGCAGATATGGTGGTCATTTTTTACCATTAGATTATGCATTTTTTTCAAGTGCTAAAAGTGGAATCTTTTGTTATTAAATAATCTGCTTTAATATTGTAGCTTTTGTCCTTCTTTCACATCCCTTATATGAATCTTCCTTTTTCTTTCTGACTTTTGATTCTTCCTTACATGACACTCTCAAATATGTTGAAGGTGCATCTAATATTGATTCTACATAAAATGAAATGATAACACATCCAGAACATCTGTTAACCAGCCACAGTGGCTTTATATATAGATTAAAAAGTTCTAGAGACAAAATAATGGTCACCAGTATAGGGCCAAACCAGCATATAGAAGTTGAACTACCACAGCATACTTCTTCCAATCTTTAATTTACAACCACAATCCTGGAATATGCTGAGGCTGATAGTGTCACAAACTGCCAAGAGATTAGCAGGATCCATAGACTCAAACAGCCCCTGTTTCCTGCAGGAAGTCAGATAACAAGATCTCCATAGCCAACTGTCTTCCAATAAAGACTGGAAATCAGATTTAAAAGTGTTCTGGTATATATGATGTATTTTGAATATATATCTGAAAAGCAGCATTTAGTTACCATGATGTCAAATAATGTTATTTTTAAAATGTCTCACAAATTAGTTTTAATGAGTTTTTGAAGGATCCAATCAGAATTTTACAAGCACATGACAGTCTCTCCTAATTCAACTGGCATCTGTGCAGATTGAACTTGGCATCTGCCCAAAGACTTAGGAAAGTCCTAGCTTCCACGCAGATTACTTTCATATAAGTAACACTCATCCTCTGGAGAAGCATGATGTGTACACACCCACAAAAAGAGTTGAGTTTACTCTATATCCTCACAGCTTCCCCCAATCAGCTTCCTCAAATAAGTGACCTCCTTTGAGGTCAGAAAAAGGAGATAAGATCTTTACTTTTGATTATCTGTTTTTCTTTTTTCCCTTCTCTTGGAGATGACAGTAGTTGGATCCAAAGAATGAAGCTCATGAATGGGCTATCGTAACAATAGTGAGTAATATACAGATAAGGGGAATTTCATCCAACCATCCTCCTTTCAGACTGAATTCAACATTGATGTAGAAAAATAAAGTGAACCTACTCTAAATTTCATACATTATAAAAATTCATTTCAATGGTCATTTGTTTCAGTTCACCAAAAAGCCATTCAGAATTATTCTATTTTGGATAAAACATAGAGTTCCAGCTAGGACTTTCATGTTATCTTTTTTAAAAAGTTAGAAAAAATTGAGAAATGAAGATTCAAATAATATTATTTGACTCAATCAAATATGTTCTTTGGTAAGAGTTAACTATTGTGTTGATCCTTTGAAATACAAATATAAGCCAACTAAGAAAAATATTGTAAATGAAGGACATGTTATTAATAGACAGACTAAGATGTAATCTGAGCAGACAGGAATTACATTAGCATAAATTAAAACAATGAAAAGGACATTTTTAAGGTCAAAGCTTGTGATTAGAATGATTGGGTTGAAAACTGGCAAAACAACTTTATCGAAATCTTGTTTACTATTTTGGCTACCAGGACAGTTGTGTTGGATTAGATGCTCTATTGATTTAATATATTCAGTAAAACCTGCAATATGGTGGCATAGAATGAGATCTAAAATTGTTGAGCATTAATGTGCAAACAAGATAAAAAGTAATCTTAATGATTCAGACTGCCACATTATGCTTTTAAAGAAAAAGCAGCTCTGCATCAATGTGCAATCTTTTCCAGTCCTTTGAACCTGTAAAGCAATATTCAATCTGTAAAGCAATATTTCTCATCTGATTTGGCAGGCTAAAAATAAACACAAGATTGACTTTTTCCTAAGTGAAACTGATTACAAAAATAATGCATGCCTGATGTGTCTTTAATCTCCTAAGATCATTTTATATAAGCAAGTGGGGGGGGGACTAGAGATATGAAAAGTAGTGATGTTGCTTCTATTAATGGTTCCTTCCTCATATAACTCTACAATAACAACTTCATTTAAAAAAAATGTATTGCAAAGATTTCTCATACATTAAATCAAATGTACTCTCATATAAAACATCCATATGCTTGACAGGTATAATATCATGCAGAATAAGACATACATGACATGTACATAGGGATGTCATGAACCAACATGAACCAACACCAGCTTTTAAATACTTACATACTGACACGATATTTGTGTCAAGATGCACTTGCTTTCCTTGCCTTTTCTTCCCCTATGCCCTCTGGCAGACATCCATAATGTCATTGCTGAATCTAAATTCGTATGTGTGTGTTCCTTTGAGTCAATCTTGACTCCTGATGACTGCTTGGACAAGTCTCTGAGTTTTCATGGCAAGGTTTTTTTCCAGAACTGATTGCCCATAGCTTTATTCCTAGGACTGAAAAAGAAATTGACTGGCCCAAAATCACCAACTGGTTTCAGCCTAAGGCAAGATTAGAATTCATGGTCTCCTGGCTTCTAGCCTAACACTTTAACCACTACATCAAACTGATTCTCTAAAACCCTCTCACATGGATGGAATTAAGAGTACAGTTTTAACATTGCTCACTTTACAACTGACATGTCCTTGTTACTCTTAAGATTTCCACTGCTTAGCAATAATAGCAAATATAAGCATGTCTTTGTGTGTTCTATTATGAAGAGTTTAAGATGAACCTTTCACATCTGTGAAAGGACAAACTATGCTGATGAATATAATGGTAGCATGGAGCCTGCTTGGGTGTGTTTAAAGTAACCACTGATTATTTTACCAGAAAAATGAAAAAGCAGCATCAAGAAAAAGGAAATGGGATAGCTGAGATTTATCTAAACTTTTCTAGTGCTAATTGATATGTGTAGAGAAAAAGTATGCATAATTATAATAATTTCTGTAAAAAGGAATATAATTTACCACGTTGGAAAAGGTTTTGTGCCTATTCTGTCTGTAAGATTGGTGGTCATTTGTATGTAAAGCAGATGGTCAATCAAACCCACATCTTCAAATGGAGAATATCCTCTAACAATTTGTAAAACAGCATGTCCACGTCTTTGAAATAAAACAAAAACCACCTGATTTATATGCTTTGAAATACTTGTACATTAAAGATGTGAGGAGCCTTCTCAGACCCATTCATCTGGCACACTCAAGAGACTGAGGTACATAAAAAAAAAATAGACTGAGCTTGGGATTCTGTCATCTTGACTTTTTTAACCACCCTGCAGTCACTCAACTTCCAAGGTACAGAATGTACTTTCTTGGGAATTGCCCTCAGCTCCCACTTTTCTTGCTTATAGAAACACCTTCCTATTCAATAATTGTTTTTAGTCTGAGTTTTGTTTAACGGTGGTTTTGACAATTGTGTGAGATTGAAAACACCAATTTTTCTTAGTTTGAGGCTTTCTGAATCTCCCTGAAAACAGATGGAAAATATCTGCAAAACGTTGCTCCATAATTGACAGTAGTTTTAAATTGCATTGTAGATATGACTAAAAACCTATTTACTAGTTCACTCTCCCCTCTTTCCCCCCAAGATATATGGAAGCTTGAAGGACAGAAAAAAGTTCTATACAGGCTCTTGGACTTTAAGATTTTCAAGATCATTTCTTACATTCCATTAATTAAATTGGACATTATATGTGCTCAACTATGAAGAATCCATGTATAATAAAAATGGTCTTGTTTTGCCTTGTGGTTTGGTCATTTTGGAGTTGTGCCTGGTCAAAATTAAATGAAAGAGTAGAAGGATAGTATTTTTGGGGAAAAAAAAGGATTTGGACTTGGATAAAGATAGTCTTGACTTATAACTAAAATTAGAACTGAAACATCTGTCTCTAAGCAGTGCAGTTGTTAAATGAGTCACATCTGATTTGATGACATTTTTTTGCTGCAGTTGTTTAACAAATAATGCAGTTGATAAGCAAATCTGGCTTTGCCTATTGATTTTGCCTATCAGAAGCCTGCTGGGAAAGTCTCTAATGACAATCATGAGACCTCAACACTACAACTGTCTCAGACACATCCCAGTTGCCAAGCACCTGACATGAATGTGGGGATGCTATGACAATTGTAAGTATGAAGACTGGTTGTAAGTCACTTTTTTTTCAGTGCCATTATAACTTTGAACAGTTGTCAAATGAATGGTTATAAGTCAAGAACTACCTATAGAGAGGTTCTACAGTTCTGCCACATGCAAAATGCTCCTGGGAAGGAGAAATGGTGCCAGCTATGATCACTGCTGTGCTGCTACAGCTTGGTGAAAAACTTGTGAAAAAGGGAGGGAGAAGTTGTTGAGAGTCATTAGTTGGCTCTAGTGGTGGGATTTACTGTAGCTGCTTCGCACCAGTTCGGCAGAACCGGTAGCTATATCCAGAAGTCCATTCTAGGCCTCAGAGGCCCAAGCCTGCATCCAATAAGGGAACCAGTTGTTCAAGTATTTCAATCCCACCACTGGTTGGCTACCTCGAGACCATTTTTCCCTGTTATAGTAAAGCAAGAGTTTTCACCGTGAACATGCATGGGAAAAGTGTTCTGGAACTCTGGGAACTAGTTGGAATGTTGAGAATACATTTTGGGCATAGTTGGAATGTGGAGAATACATTTTATGCTTATTTGCAAAGTCTCTAATCAAAAAATAGCTACTATAAAATAGCAAAGCACTACTTTCATTCCCTCTTCCCTTCCTTCTCTTTGGGCTGGGGGCCATACCACAAAGTGCTAGCTGCATCATCCCTATAAGTTTGTTTCTTTAAAAAAAAAAGAGAGAACAAAGCTTTAGGGGCTGCTGTGCAGGTTCAGAAGTTTGTTTGAAATAAAGCAGATGCCAGAAAGCAGCACTTTGCCAGTTTCCACATTTTGTTTCAAGTAAAAAAAGTTTTATTTTAAGAAGTAAAATGTCAGATAGGCTGGGAATGTAGATGATTCCAGGGAAATTGCTGGGGCACAATAGTGTCTTCATAGAGACTTTGGTTCTACAAATGTACAGACTATATGCTGGTTGCAAATATACAAGCTGAAAATCAGTTAACAGACATCCATACTTAGACTGTACATGTGTTTCACTATTTTCTTGTATTATAAAAAGAGGGTTTCATAGCTAAATATTTGACAGGCTTTACCCTTTGTAAGATGAAATACATGCATTTTGGTGCTCATTGGCATTGTAGGATCAGATGATTTGTCATCTCAGAGGTCATAGGAGCATGTATGTTTAATTTAGATATCAATCAATCATGCATTCTTCTTTTAAAAGCAAAAGAGGAAAATTGAGAGTTTCCAACATGTTTCATGAAAATATGTTAACTAGGTTTGTTATACTTCTGTATGCTGTAAAAATATTAGTTCATTTTCTGCAACTGCATGTGAAATTATGATCTGTTTCTATTTTAATTTTAATTCCAGTGGATGCAAGCCAAGGATTCTATATAATACTTAGAGGCTCTATTAAGTCACTGACAAAGCATTACAAAAGACTTATCGGAGGACATTTGATTTCAGTGCCTCCTCAGGTGACTTCGGTTACAAATGAATCGAACCCAAACCAGTTAGCATCATCTGATAAGGTAAGTTTAACAGAGATCCACCATTAAGCAAATATTAGTAGAAATATTTGAGAAGGTCAAACTGGATACCTACATTTTTCTCCCCAAACTATTATTTCAAAACATATAAGGAAAATAGGACTTAAATGCACAAAATTTGATCCAATGCCTTTAATAAAAACCATTTTTGTTTGTCCCTTCAAGTCAATGAAGACTCCTGATGACTGCCTGGACTTGTCACTGCAGTTTTCTTGGCAGCATTTTCATAGAATTGTTTCCCACTATCTCCTTCTTAGGGCTCAAGGTCATCCTACTAAGTTTAAAGTAGGACAAGGACTCACAGCCTTGTAGTTTCTAGCCTAGGGCCTTAAGACCTTCTTCTCTGGTTATCCAAGAATCATTTCCTTTAGGTGGCTAAGGAACTGCTTGAATACAGCAAACATTTTTCTAAGCATACTATCTTTTTTCTTGAAGTATTGATAGCCATCTTTGGCTATCAATCATAATGGATTACAGGTCTAAGGCAGAATACCATGTCACCAAACAAGCTCTCATATTTACTAATAGTATTGTTTTACATTTACCTCTTATTGAACTTTCCTTAATATATCACTTGAATTCTGTGTAGGTCTAGTGCAAACCTGGGGTGTGTGTTTGTGTGTATGTGTGACAGGTACATATGTGCTTCCAAGTCAGTCTTGACTCCTTGAAATCACATGGAAAAGTCCATGCAATGTTCATGGCAGCATTTTTAGAAGTGGTTTAGTATTGCCTTCTTCCTAATTGTGTGTGTGTGTGTGTGTGTGTGTGTGTGTGTGTGAGAGAGAGAGAGAGAGAGAGAGAGAGAGAGAGAGAGAGAGAGAATGACTGGCTCAAAGTCAACAGCCAGTGGTGGAATTCAGCTGGTTCACATCACTTCGGCAGAACCGATAGCTAATTTTTTGTTGCCCAGGCCCAGAATAGATTTCCAGAAGTGGCATCCACACAGAGAACTGATTGTTCACATATTTGAATCCCACCACTGCATACAGCTAGCTTGTATTCCTAAAGTCACTAGGAACTATAACATCAATCTTGGAAAGACGTGAAATGAATAAGATGACAGCTCTAGTTTAAACATCAGGCTGACTGTGCAACCAACCATAATAATTTTTATAATTTCCTAGTCTTAATTGGGGAGATCCAATGGATCGTGCTGTGGAAGATCTGGGGTTAGTCCAGATCTGAGAATACTTATTTCCAATATGTACAAAGGTTCTTTTTTGGTAGCTCATCATATAAAGTCTTGGCATGTTGTATTACAACTGCCATGGCCAAGCTAGATGGGATTGAGAGTTAACAATAGTTTTTTGGCCCTTGACGTAGGATGTGTACACTCAGAACAAATGGTGACTTGGTTTAGTTCTGGAAATTTCTAATACAGACTTGATTCATTGCATATTCAGTGTCAGCAAGTAGTGAATGCCTTTTAGCTCAATTTATTATAGTATGGTAAAAAAACAACTTGGTTTTATGGAACTGCCCTGCTCTAAGATTATTTGCAAAAAATCTTGGAGAATGGTGTAATGTAGAAACTGCTATCTCTCTCCCATCATCCACAGTGAGCTAAATTAACCTGATTGGCATGATAAGGTTGGGAGAATGTTATCTGGTTTTTTTTTGTGTGTGTGTGTGATAGATGTTATCGCTTGCTATAAAATATAGTTAGTTAAAGACTTCATTGTATTATTATCAATCTGTGCATCCCAGGGAAAAATGTATTTCTGAGCATGCTAGTGTGCATCTATTGTAACTGTAAAGCAAATGCACCTTTCTATAAGACCTTATGAATACTACTGATTGAAAAATAAATGTAATTTAGTTTTGCAACATTAATTCTGGCATTGAGAACTGCTTTGGTGCAGTAATTGAGGCTAGAACCCAGGAGACCATGAGCTCTAATCCCCTTTTAGGTACAAAATCAGTCGGATGACCTTGAGCCAGTCAGTTTCTCTCAGCCCTAGAAAAGAGGCAATGGCAAACGACTTCTGAATAACCTTTCCTAGAAAACTGTAAGGACTTGTCCAGGCATTTTCTGCGAATTAAACATGACTGAACAGAAGAAAAAAAATATTCTGGCACTAACAACAATTGAATTACTTTCTTTAGTTGCACCATTTTATATGTCCTAGAAAAATTGATAATAAAACTATACTAACACCATTTATTGAAGACTATTTTGTAATTATTCTAATTTTCTGAATTTTTAAAACAAAACTAAATAACAAAATAGTACTGCCATCAGAGATGATTAGCTGGGCTATCTTGATTACAGCCTTTCCAAACAATCTGAAAATACTTTAATATAATGCAATTTTTAGAGGAGGAATTATCATCTCCAATTTTTCTTTTGTTTGATTAAGCCTTAGTCACCTCTTGAAATAGATGAAGGGAATTCTATATCATATGGAATTCCAAGCTAATCTCCACCTCAGTTAGAAAAAAAAAGTCATAGATCTTTGTTTTTGTATATGATAACCACAGCAAGATTGCTGTAGCACTAAGATGGAAAGATCTGGCAATAAGCCCCAAGAAGAAAATTTCTGATTTCAGATTAAATCCTCTGAATCAGTATATGCATTTGAACATAAAATCTTCTACCTTTTTTTGCACCAAATGACTTACACTAAAACTCAACTAAAAATAAACAGGACAGGAGACAACAAGCACTCCTTTCTTGTCCCTTTTTGTATCCCACAGGGTTATGTTAGATTGCATTGACAATTATTTGCCCTTTTGATCTTATCCATTTAGTAGCATTCTCTCCAAAATTAATATCTTCCAAAACTTTAAAAGGAAAGACCAAATCAAAGGCCTTCTCTAAGAAAAATCAGCACAACTTGGCTTTCATTGTTGCTCCAAATAGGCCAAAATATTTAACCCATTTATAATGTTATTCCTTAACTGTATTTTAGGTAAAAAAAATTCCATTGATCCTCATGGAGAAATTCTTGCAAAGTTATTTTGAACCTTTCAATCACAATCACTGTAAAAATGTATAATTATGATTCAACAATGATATCAGTTGATAGTTTCTTGTTGAAGTCAAATATTGTCCTTTAAAGTTATATTACCCTCCTTCCACCTTTATGGCATCTTTTCCCTCTGTAAAATGGAATTCATTATATTTTGTAAAGGTTGCAAAAGTTAATCCACAAAGTATTTATAGTAAGATGCCAGTAATCCATCTGGTCCAGGCAATATGGACCAGATATTTTTTTCTCTTGTTTTAGTCTTTTTTATAGCTTTACAAACTTACCTTATTGTTATGGGTCCATTCATAATCTGTTTGTTTTTCTGTAATCTTCAATAAATTTTGTTTCTTTAAATATTCATCTATTTTTTTCCAGGGAAATTTCTTCTCCTTTGTATAAATTGGGATAAAATTGATGAAATACTTGTTGCATGCAGATATTGTCTGTTATTATAGTATCTCTCTCCTATAGTTTCAATATTCTTTTCATAATTGTATGCCAAATTATGAAAATTGGTTTATTTGCAAACTCAAATCTTTTGTTTTGCATAATACATTTATATTTCTATTTCTCTTAGTGTTAAAATTGATAACTGTTCCTCAAGCTTAATTTGTTGAAAAATATTTGCCTTTTTTATGCTTCTTTTTTCTCAATCAAAATAGCTTGTATTTTCTCATATGCCTTCTTTTGGAGTTCCCTACTATGTTGTATAATGTAATCTCTCATGAAAGCTTTGCTTGTGTTCCAAATCATTTTTACATTTGTAACTTAAGATTATTTTCATAAAAATAATCATAAATTTATTTTTATAGATCTACAGTATTGCTTCCTTCTGTAATAGCATTTAATTGCTATCTGAAAGACTAAACTAACCAGATTATTATCTGAAAACATGTCTTAATTAATTAATTAAGAAAATTTATATGATCAAATAAGTAAATGTATACATTCATTTTTCTGTATCCATGCATCAACTAACTCAAAATTGTCCATCAAATTAAAAAAAAAAGCTTGTGTAAATTTTGTGTAATTAATATTTTTCTCAGAAGTTCTGTCTATATGTGGAGAGATCACTCCATTCAGGAAATTTCTCCTTAGTTCTAGGTTGCTTCTCTCCTTGATTAGTTTCCATCTTTCGTTGCTTCTTGTCCTGCCTTCAGGTTCTTTGGAGAATAGCTTGACTCCCTCTTCTTTGTGGCAGCCCCTGAGATATTGGAACACTGCTATCATGTCCCCCCTCGTTCTTCTCTTCATTAAACTAGACATACCCAATTCCAGCAACCGTTCCTTATATGTTTTAGCCTCCAGTCCCCTAATCATCTTTGTTGCTCTTCTCTGTACTCTTTCTAGAGTCTCAACATCCTTTTTACACCATGATGACCAAAACTGGATGCAGTATTGTCACATTATAATCTTGATTGTGCAAATTTCAAAGTCAACTGTCATATCTGCTGAACTTTTTTGTTTCTTATTAGCAATGGTTTTGGATTCCTTGAGGGCAAATGGCATTAGTTCATTTTAGTATAAGTGGTTTAATTATACATCTTTAGATCCCTTCAGATAGACTGTTCCTGATACATTGCTACAACTTATGCAAAGTTTTATCTTGTATTTGTTGAAATTAATCATATGGACATATAGGCAAATAGTCAAAGTATTTGAAGTCATTATAATCTTCTTTTATCTCTTTTAGTTAAATGGCAGTGTCTGCATCTTTGTAAGATAATATAGTTGAATGAAAAGGATGGAGAAAATAGTGTTCAATAAACACTGTAAACGAGTTAAGCCCAGGAAAAGATTAAAATTCTGAAAATTCATTATTAGAAAAGAACTTGCTCTATACAAAAATATCAGAGATATAATTCAGCTTTAAATGAATTTGACATTCTAAGCAACAGCAACATTTGCATTTTTGTCTTTTCTTGTTTTGAAAGTGTATTGATGTGAACTGTAGAGAAAAATGGCTATAAAAGCATGACTGCGATCTTCTCTGAGAAAGGTCACTATTCAAGAATACATCTCTTAATTGGAGATGGACAATAAAAATCAGCCTGATTTGTTCTGTGGGTTTAGTTTCTTTCTTCTGGTAGGGATATGTTTACAATTGGGGAAAAATTGCAAATATTGAGATGGGCAAAAGTAAGAAAGCAATTTTCTATTCCATTCCTAAAATGGTGCTTTTGGCGACATCCATCTGAAATTAGCTTCAGGGAGCTGAGAACATTTCAACTTCCTTAATATTTATTTATTTTACAGCATTTATATATATAGTGTAACCCCCTCAGAGGTCACCAAAGCCCAGGCCCTCCTAGCCACCCCTTCAGTTACGCTCAGCATCCGTGATCTCAAAACATTGATAGAATGTCCTTTTTAATGGGAACTCATGCAGAGTGAAGGGGTGGCGGTTCTCATTGTCAAAGGAGTTTACAGGAACAAAGATGACCAACTCCTAGCCATGGCAGTCAGTGTTTATCAACCTCCTAGTAAGCATGGCAATAATAGTCAATGGCTTGTAGCAGCCGCTTGGGAAAATGGGGGGAGGCCCTCCAGCTCCAGGCAGCAACAGAAAGCACGAGCGAAGATAGCACTCTGCAGCAACAGCTCGCCCCACAAGAGCAGCTCCCCACAATGTCTACAGCTTGCACAGGTGATAATGATCAAAGTTTGGATGGCCGCTGGTCTCTAAAACAGTAGTGACTAGACTCTCCTTCTCTTCTGTCGGTGCTTGTAGTCCCAGGTCTCTCTATGCCAAATCCCCCCTTCCTTTCTAGTTAAAACCTGAATTTAAAACCCCACCAAGCTTTCCCTCTTCTCACTCTCACTCTTCCCTTCACTCAGGATATCCCCGTGAAAGAAAGCAATAAAACTCCACTCTCTCTCTCTCCCTCTCCCCCTCTCTCTATCTCTATCTCTCTCCCCTTCCCTCTATTTCAGAGGAAAAGAATCACATAAAACCCCGACCTCCTCTTTGGCTTCACCTGGTCTCTCCCCAACAACAACAATCACCCCATCTCCCTTTCTCCTTCCCCCTTTTTTTCCTTCTGCCTGATCCATGCCTGCCGCGCCCAAACTGGCAGCAGCTGTCTGAGCTTCCTACTTCCCTCTCTCCAGCCAGGCTCCTGCAAAGCCTTTCACCAGCCCTGCTACATATACTTCTCCAGTTATGGAGAATGTATAGTGCATTATATACAGTTTTCAGAGTTTTCTGAAATCTCAACAAGAAGAAAACAAGTACTGCATGCATTTGGGAACAGTGTGTCCTGTAATATGGGAGCAACTATAGGAGATGGCTGTCTTCATTGCTCTTTCGTTTATCAAAGTACATTCTTAAATAGGTTAACTCTAGAAGTCCAGATAGGATGGGCAGGATCATCTATCATTAGGCAATCCCTGATGGAATGGAACAATTCACCACAGCCAACTTGTTGCAGCCATCTCTCCATGGCTATCTCACTGCAGCCGGCTCACTGCAGGACAATTTGCTGTGGACAATTCTAATGGGATAACTCAATGCAATAAATATTATCCGCCACTGTTTCTTTGACATTATTTCCATTTTTGTCAATGAAAATAATGTCAAAGAAACAGTGGTGGTGAGATGGCTATGGTGGATAACAGTGAGTTGTTATAAACCCGTCCCTGATGTGTTCTATTGTTTTCAGGAGGGAAATTCCAAGGCTAAATGATGCCTTGATTTTGTTCAACTTATTTATCACTATTGTGGAACATTTTAGTGATTTTATATAACTATTATAAATATCAGCTGTCATCATGAGAGTAAATATCCAGAATATATGCTATTGTTTTTCCTACAACAAGTTGCAGAAGTGATAAATTACAGTATATAATACTGTTATATATTTTTATAATTATATAAAACATAAGGGAATATTAAATATTAATTTCTATTATTTCTTTTTAATTATTTTTGAAGTTTGGTGTAGGGTGCTGTTTTGGGACTTTGGTACCATTTCCTTCAAGGATGAAACGTGATGTACTTAGTATTCTTACTGAGGAAAACTGTGATTTTCTCAAAATTCCATCCATCAATTACTTAAGGGTAAAAGAGGTAAGCAGTTTTCATAAGAATGAAGAACCTGTGGGTCACCCATTCTTGCTGATCTTCAGTTCCCAGTGTTTTCAGCACAGGACCTGTAGCATTTTGCCAATCTCTAGAATGTTATGGCTTCTTATAGTTATTTATCTGTTTAAACTTGTTTTGCATTTTTATCTTTGAATAAAATCCTGAGTGTAACCCATGGAACAAAGCACAATGCAACAGCTGGACACTCAATTTTCTCCTTTTTTTTTCAGCCATAGACAAGGAGAGAGAGTCAGAAAAAGAAAAAGCACTAAAAATCATTAAGCTGTTATAAGCTCCTTAAATTTAAAATGCATCTTCTTATATTTAAAATATTGTATTCAGCTTTTTATTATTTTATGAAATACTTAAACACCCCAGGAGAGATATGAGCAGATCCTGGACAATTGATGCTACATTCCTATTTTTGGAAGTCAGAAATTGGATGCTAAGTATTGTATGAAGCAGCTCCCTAATGAACATGTTTGAATGACTGATAAGGTGGTGAAAATTATAACATTATTTTATCATATTTCCCAGGCTTCCTTCCACTAGAAAAAAATGCTGTATAAAGAGTCAATTACTTTCACCCAAAGAATCCTGATTAAACTGGTAAAGGGCAAACTTCCCTGAGCCTCATTTTAAAAATGCACAGCACAAATGAATGAGCTAATTCAGTTCCAAGAGAGCCTTCGTTAATTTAAAGAAACCAATCCAATCAGTGTCTTTTCCCCTTACTATCAACCTGTATTCCAAGGCTTTATCACCAACACATCTTCTTTTCTCAAACATATCTGATGAGGGGATCTGAAAAGAAAGTGCAGTTACAGTAGATCCTTCAGCAACAATGCTGAGAACATCCACTGATATCTCCATACTTTCCAACATTCACTAAGGATCCTAAGTGTACTTACAGGGCCAGATTTTTCCAATTTGGTAACTCCAGATTCTAGACTCTGTTGTCTTTTGGTCTTCTAATCTCTCTTCCATGTCCCAAAATTTGGCCAGGGGTTGGTTAAAGGAGTTTGGAGGATGTGATGGGTACTAAGTTAAGCTCCTTATGAATGTGTTTCCCCTCTGAAGGGACTAGTAATGGTTGCCAATAATACTGCTAAAAATCATTGCTTCAAGATACACCAGTATACTATCTATCTCAGACATAAATAAGCACAGACTGAATTTTTCTAATTTATAATATTATTTGCATTTGTGTTGCCTTATTAACATACCTCTACAAGTACATTTGTACTAAATTAGAGTAATTGCCATTTGATTAACATTGTGTATCTCTCTGTTTGGATGTGGACCTGGAAAAATCAAACCAGTTACAATTTATTTCTCCCTCCCGTGCTTCTATATGAAACCAACATTCATCTCAGCTATGCCATTGCATTATTCTGAGTCCAAGTACTACATAAGTATTATGACCATTAAAATGCTGTTGAATAACTATTCACGTGAACGTCAACTTCCAGACTTCTAAGTAGTTTGATGGGGATTTTGGGACTTGTAATCTAATGCATTTGAAGGATGGCAGGATTCTATCTGTTTATATGTTTCAGTCAATCATTGGAAAGACTGGCTTATGTTATCCAATAATCAATGGATGTATCTAAATACAGTGTCAGCTACTTTTCTAATTCAACTCAATTTAAATAATTTCATTCTAATCAATATATTAATATATAATGTCATAAAAATTATGCTGACTAGAACTCTTATTAAATGTAAATCCCATACTTGATTCCTTCTGTGAATCCTTCCTGTCTATTCTTCACATTTATCCAATCTAAAACTGAAACTGTCTTTCAGGAAATAGCAAAACATGAACAGCAGGCCAAAGAAGCAGTAATCCGTGGGTCTTCATTTTACCAAAACTGGCCGATGATATTTATATTTAAGTTAACTGCTCAGTTAAAATGGAGGAAGTTTCCAACAGACTATGGTGAGTATAATTTAATATGCATATCAACATCCATATTGATATCCATATCAATGTCATGACCTAAACAGGAACCTTTAAAATGATGTACATGGGGCTGCATTTAAAAAAAAAAAAAAAAATGAATGGGATATACTTCAATTAGATGGAAGAGCTCTTGCAAAAAAACTAAATTTAATTTCTTTTTCAGACTAGTGTATTCAATTCTCCATGAATCTAAGATTTCTCCCACAAGACCTCTCTGGGATTAATTAATTTCCAGGATGTCTATGTAGATTCTTAGTCATTCGCGTCATGATTGTCCCAAAGATGCTTTTTGAAGAGGCAACTGGACTTTCTGTTTTTCTTTGAAGACATTTTGCTTCTGATCCAAGAAGATTCTTCAGCTCTGGCAAAGCTGAAGAAGCTTCTTGGATGGGAATTGAAACATTTTCAAAGAAAAACAGAAAGTCCAGTTGCCTCTTCAAAAAGTACCCTTGGGATAATTTCCAGAAAGTAGAAAACTGGACAAATCAGCCTGTCCCAGTTCATATTTAAACAACTGCACATGCCTATTATTGTTGGTTTGCTATCAAATATATAACCCAGAATCCAATTCTTGTTTCTTGTGATTGTTATAAGTTACATGAAAATAAATTGATTATGTAATTTTTCACACGCAATCAGTAATGAGTTGGGAATGGAAAATGTAGACTGAAATAACACTTTTTTACTGCTTTCTTGAATTGATTATGGAGAAATGGAAGGAACTGGAAAAAATTGCCCTTTTAATAGCGATCATCTGTAACTTTAGCAATCTCTCTCTCTGTGTTTGTGTATATATATGCCTGAATAAAATATGGCATTTTCATATGATTGAAGAAAGATTCTAAGTATCTACTCAATAATCTAGAGTGAAAGAAAAAAGTGAAAAAACCTTTTAATTAATAATTTAAAAATGCTTATAATCCATTTTTTTTCCATGAGTGTTGTTCAACTTGATTATCTAATTGTCTCACAGTGTGTTTCCCAATACTTAACAGTGTTAGCTGATAAAGAGATTTTTTTTAATGCTAAATTCCATATAATACTTTTGTTGTTCAAATAATTTAGATAATTACTCCTTTGGCTGATCTTATTGAAATTGTAATTTTCAATTGCTTCCATTGACTTCTGGAACGCAGATTTGTTAAAGATAATCAAGTCCTTGTTCAAATAACTATTGGAAATTAATGTCTGATGAATTTCATAGCATTTTAAAATGATATCTCTTTTTATCTAGTTCTTTGTAAATTTTTAATGTTTTAATTCTCAATGCTGAATTTTTTAATTTTCTTATTTTATATTGTGATTGTATGTTGTATGCTGTCCAGTATATAAATGTAATTGTCATGGTTCTGACAGATGAAATGCTTTAAAAGAACTTCGAGGCATTGTTATCTTAAAGAATCTTTTATTCAAGAAACAAAGCATTGGCACTACATAGTTAAAGCCAAAATCTGAATCTCCCCCCCACAAAGTAGCAAAGCACAATTCTCTCCTCTAATTAACAGTCATAAATCACATTCCCCAATTAGCTTGAAGCACCAGCTTTCTCCCCAGCTCTCCAGCCCCCCAAATCTTTATCAGCTCTGGGAGCAATAACCTTGATTCCCACAGCTGAGTTATTGTTGTTATGACTAACTGGACTCTCATCCACATCCCCCCACCAGCATCATCTAACTCTAAAAGTGAAAGAGAAAAGATGGCTACATTTCCATCTGCTGTCAAAGCAAGAACATCTGATGTTAGTAGCGTTGACGTTAATAGTTATTAAACTATTTAATCAAAGTTATTAAATAGTTATATAAAATAAGATGGATCTGATCTCAAATTACCAAAGGCTGAAATGTTGCCTTTCTCCGTGAATTTTGTGGAAAAAACTTTCTCATAAGGAAAGGAACATTTATTTTGAATCTGGAAAAGGATTAGTACATATAGGTTTAATCACATCTGGTCTTTATTTTCACATGTCAGCCTTATTTCTAATTTTTTAGTAGGAATTTACCACCTTTCTTAGTAATATGAATTGGATCTTATTATTCTGTAATAAATTAAACATTACATCTATGAGCATTAAAAGAAAAGTTGATTGTACATTTGTTAATGAGACAAACCACATAAGGTGAATAGATTTAAATTACGGAATGTGTTGCACAACTATGGGGTTGCCAATTTGATGAAAGAGGTACAAGATGGAAATAATTCATCCATGAAAAAAAAAGTATGTTTAATGAATAGTTCAATACTGAACAGGGTATAAGACTGGTTGATATTATCCCTTGATAGGTTTTCAGTTAAATATATAACAACTGTTTGTGGTGATGTTAAAGGTGTTCTTGGAAGTAGGACATTAGCGTTTATGTATTTTTGCCTGCAGACCATGCTGCTTTGGTGACTGAAAACCTAAATGATTGGCAGGAAATGTTACTGATTAATGCAATAATGACTATAGATCTGAAATTAATATCTCATAGATGAATGTAGCTGCATTTGACAGGAACAATGAGATGGACCACTGCAAGTTATATTCCATTTTTCAATAATTCTTACTAACAGTTCTGAATCTGCAAACAGATTTCCTTTTTTCTTACAACTGGAGCTGCAAATATTATTTAAACATTGTTTGCAGACTGCTTTATAAGTTGCAAGTATATAGGTAAATCTCTGTTATATCAATTCAAATATAACAGTAAAGTCTCACTTATACTAAAGCCAAAACAGATGCAACAAAAATGATATAAACCTGTTCTTGATCCTTCAAACATAGTATAGAGAGTCATTATTATCAAGTCCAGATATCTAGGATTATGAAATCAGTAGATCAAGAATATTTGAAAAATCAATGCCAGAAAAGGTGGATTTAAAGAATCTAGAACATAATATGTGTTCTGAATACACTGTTAATACTGATCTAACAATGAACTTTTGAAATATATTCAGCCCTGGTGTTTTGTATTTATAGTAGATTGTTTTGGAAAAAAAATAAGAAAAAATATCTAAAAAAATATTATTAAATATTTTTTCTACTAAATTCACATAGCACAGAATTTATGGTCTCATTTAGCAATTTACAAATCCATCCTGTGATATTTAGCAACAGGTTTCTGTCATATTGCTATAGTTTTATCCCCATCTTCCCTTTTCTTGCTTTTGTATGAAAATACTTCCACAAAGGCATTGAGTATTATGTATCTTTAATTTGCAAAAATGTTTTGAGATGAAACATTGCTGCATAACTGTAAAATATGACTTTACTTCACTCTGCTTAATTGGGAGAGCTGCTTTATTGTAAATCTCCCAGGAACCAGGTTTACACTAATGAAAGTTAGTTGCTTGGAGCTGATTCTTAAAGGACCTCATGTCATATAAAGTGTAATTAATACAGCATGATTTATTGCATGGCTAAAAGATGAATAATGCTAAGTGTCTGAAATGGTAGAGAGTTTCCTTTCTGAGCAGGGGGTTGGACTAGATGACCTCCAAGGTCCCTTCCAACTTTATTATTATTATTATTATTATGGATCATCGCACAGTCAGCCAGATCTTCAGACTGGATTTTGCATTTTGTCTACCTATCGAGTCCTTACCCAGGACCTGGGATAGGCAGATGCGGATGTTTGATGGTATTACAGATATCGTTGCAGGATGGAAGCAGTTCCTAGTAAGGCTGCCTTTTGCAATTGACTAATAGCGAATTTGTCAATGCCAATGGTGTTCAAGTGTGCTCCAGTTGTTTTGGGATTGCACCCAAGGAGCCTATGACTATTGGTACTACCCTTGCTTGCTTTTGCCACAGTCTTTCTATTTCTATTTGTAGGTCTTTGTATTTTGTTATCTTCTCCAGTTCTTTCTCTTCTATTCTGCTATCTCCAGGCACTGCCACGTCCACTATCCAGACTTTTTGTCTTTCTTCTCGACAATTGTTAAGTCTGGGGTGTTATGTTGCAGGTGCTTCTTCTTCTTCTTCTTCTTCTTCTTCTTCTTCTTCTTCTTCTTCTTCTTCTTCTTCTTCTTCTTCTTCTTCTTCTTCTTCTTCTTCTTCTTCTTCTTCTTCTTCTTCTTCTTCTTCTTCTTCTTCTTCTTCTTCTTCTTCGTCTTCTTCTTCTTCTTCTTATTATTATTATTATTATTATTATTATTATTATTATTATTATTGATCATCGCACAGTCAGCCAGATGTTCAGACTGGATTTTGCATTTTGTCTACCTATCGAGTCCTTACCCAGGACCTGGGATAGGCAGATATGGATGTTTGATGGTATTACAGATATCGTCACAGGATGGAAGCAGTTCCTAGTAAGGCCGCCTTTTGCAATATTATTATTATTATTATTATTATTATTATTATTATTATCAAAAGAGAATCTTTAAAACTCTGTCTATCTATCTATCTATCTATCTATCTATCTATCTATCTATCTATCTATCTATCTATCTATCGTCTATCTACTACTATCCTATTTATACCCTATCCAAGCACCAAAGTCTCTAGATTCTCTCCATCCAATAAAAATAATACATTAATGAAAAAGAAAAAAATTCAAAATTTATTCATTTTTTAAAAATGCAACCAATGATATAATTGTGTGCTTGCAGTTCTACTTCCAGTTGAAGCATCCCCTCCTCCTTCAATGAAAGAAGTGAGTCTTTCCTAAAGCCCAGGAGGAGAGAAACTGATCAAATCTCAATAGGATGGGAATTCCAAACTCTGGGGATTACTACTAACAAAACCTACTTCCAAAGCACTGTGTGTAATATATGTGAAAATGACCTTGAAGGGTAATGGGAAGAGATGCTATCTAGAAAACAATCAGATAAGAGAAGTGGAAACCTCCAGTAGCTTAACTGTTGGGAAAAAAATATATAGAAATGACCTGCCATAATGGATCAGAAAGTTAAAACTGATGGTGGGAGATTTGTACCTTCAGACTTGCAAGATTCCATTAATGTAGCCTTATAATGTAGAATTAGCTCATCCAGCT